GCAATAGGTGTACGAAACTGTACCTACTTCAATATTGGATATATGGCAGAGAGAATAATAAATATTTGTAGAGATATTCACGTTACTGTGTTTGAAAATGTTCGGCGTGAAATATTGGAATATGTCAAGAAGTTCAAGGCAACCATTTCGAGCATCTTATGAACTGACCTCAAGCTCATTACCTCATATTATGTAGTTGAATGTCGATGTATTCAGGCAATTATTAAAAGTTCCGCCATTTTGTAGTAGTTGAAGATATTGACGTTATATTCTAGGATTCGTCAGGAGCTTTAGAATGATGTATCCAAGACCTCCTTTCCTGGGAGTATTCAGGCATAAATTTCATTATCCCAAATTTCAATTTTTTGAGTTGACCCGTTCAAAAAATAAAAGGTGGGGGGATATTAAAGAAATGCACCGTATTATCTGACCACTGATGAAATTTTTCAAATACATATGTACTTATTGTATCATGAACACAATGGCAAACAGAATCAAAATTGAAGATATGCGGAACTCCTTGCTCAGAATCAACTTCACAATGGTAGATGAATGATCTATAATCTGTGAGCGTTTGACTTATTATCTCTCTCAATGCGAACATTGCCAGTTATTATTTGAAAGTCAACAATCAATTATATCGACCACTCCGCTTGAAAGTATATATCACTAACGCGAGTGAATGATTCTCGTTAATCATTTATACGGAATATAATCAGTTAAGTGTTACATTGAATGATATAGATACTTTAAAAAATGGTACTATTGAATTTGTCTAGGACAGGTGAGCAATCAACATCAAGTTCTTTTCGAAACTAAACGCTGCGTTGAAATGAAACTGAACCCAGTCAACAAATTACGAAATATTTCAATACTCCTCTAAATTTAGACATACAAAATATTTTCTGTGAAATTCATTAGACGAAGTTATACAAACCACATTATTCTCGAAGTTTTGAGGAAATGAATTGCCTGATTAGTCACTTAAACTATTACAGTGAGTAACTCATTTTAGAATAATGTGGAAAATAACCTATGGTTGACAAGTGAGTAGAATTTGAGGAAAGTTAAAAAAAGAAAGTTTCAAACATAAAAGCAAAGCTTTTAAATTGAACAATTTGAACAAAGACTCACCTCCCAGTACAGGCGAATATTTAGCGTGACCGGAACTCTATTTGTATTTTTCTTCTGTGTATTCCAGGGTCCTGTTCTTGGGACTGTTCTGTTTATCTCAACTAGTATATACATTGGTTTCAGATTTCAATATAATATTCAAAAACTGGTGAAGTAACAAACTTCCAAATTCAAATAGTGCGATGACGCACGAAGACCTAAGGGGAGACGTTTATCATAATAATTAACGAGGATTCTAATGGCCATTGCGAAGACAAATTTTTGACCGTATCCAAACAATGTCACATGTTGCAGGAAAACATACGCGATTATTCTATATTTTTGCCTAACTTGTCACCTGACTTACGTATCGGTTCTTTGATGCGACGCGCGTCTCCACAAGCCATAACGAAACTTGTTTGACGCTTACGTTACGGATCATGTATTACAAATGAATAAGTGACTTTAGAAATTCTTCAAAATCAATTCCCAAATGTTCTCGGTTCATTTTTTTGCGGCATCAACTGCTAGGTTATTAGCCGCGGACTTGTTGTTTGTTTTTCAAATTTCATCTATTATATTTGCGGCTTTCAAAAATGCCATCAGGTTGCTCAACGTTCGTCTATCATCACATAGAATTTCTTTCATTTATTGTTGATTTATTTAACAAAAATTTGTTGTTGGGTTAAATGATGTCTTGAAGATGACATGTTTTCTTTTCATACAGTATTTTTTACTCAAATTCATCTGATTTGTATGGATAGAGATTCGATTAGCATAACACGGTAACGTGTACTTAACGTGAAACGGTTTTCTAGAACGCAAAGGACCCGTTCGCGAGGAACGCGAAGGGAGCAGAAGGCAGTTAGTCTCGAGATTAGTTTTGAAAACGGTTCAGGATAAGTAACGAAGTCAGCAGTGATGGTAAATTAATAATTGTCGAGTAACTTCTTTTCAGTAATTCAAAAGAACCAAAGAGAAAATACCAGTAGGTATTTACCATAATTCGTTGATTAGCAGTGGAACGCCACTTTTTACCGTTTCCCTCGAAGGTTTTAAAAATATAGCATTATAGTGCACCTGTCAAGATATTTTAGCAATGTGTTTTGGACTTTGTACGGTGATTTGATTAAGCATCTATTAGATTTCGTGAAAGATCCGTACCTACATCGCAACTGTATCCACTCACCGTACAGTCCAGATTTGACCTCTTGCAGTGTTTGTCTGTTTATACAAGATACGTTTTGCAATATTCTCTCGAAAGGTAGATTGGTGTTCTTGCTCAAAAAAGTAGGAGTGATGGTGAAAGTGTATTAGAATGGATAAGTGAGTAGACTCAGAAGACTGAATACATATTTTTTTTTGTGAATAGTGCTTCATCATTACCTTTTAAACAGTCCTCGTAAAAAGAATCATTTGGGAATTTCAACTCGGTTTCAGGTATGCTTTTGAACATTATATATGAACCTAATGAAAGATGTGTTCGAAGAGAATCATATGAAGAGTGGAGAGGGATATTATGAAGATTAACGGAATACTAAGCGAGTTTTTCCACCAAACCGACTAATTCTTCCGGAATACGAAAAGAAAGAGTTACGAATCGAGCACAGAATTTATGATACACACTGAAGAAACCACTATAAATTTACCATTGCTAGAATGTCCCGGGGCAATCAACGCGGTTAGGTTGCGAGTGGGCGGATTTCTTGCATGTACCAATACGGATCTCCACTATACTCTCAGCGCAATTAGTTGTCTATAACAATAGATCTATTCTAAAAGTTCTCTTTGTCTACGTTCACCTATGAAAGATATTGTTCATTGAAATTTAAACTCAAAGAAAAACGATTGCTAAATACAGTGATTTCGAAAAGTGATGAGGATAAAATAGGTCGAATTTTATGGTTGATCACGTCTCAAATGGATGTAATATAAATACAATACAGCGCGATGACCGACAGTCAGCTGTATTTCGGAAATAATAGGAAACTGGGAAATATATCTTTTTTAATGTTTTATCCAATGAAAATAATGGTGTTATTCCAACATTTTCGGTTATACCGAAAGTTGGTACCAACTTCCTTAATTCAAATGTAACACCCTGTATATTTTCTCATCTTTGAATACCTGGCATAATTCAAATGTAAGTTTATGTACTTAATACAACCTCAGATTTTTTTAAATATTTTTTATCGAAAAAAAATGATGGATTTTTTCCAACATTTCCGGTTATATAGGAAGTTGCTACTAACGTCTTTGATTCAAATGTAATACCCTGTATATTTTCACATTTTTGAATACCTCGCGTAATTCTAATGTGAGTTTGTGTAATAAACCTTATACCAAAAATAAACCGTTCTTGAGATATTCATTCTTTACTCAAAAAAACTAGGTATTCGGCTCTCGAGTGATTCCCCTATAAAATTCAAAAGTTGAATAAAAAACGAAACTATCAAATCTATAATATATTAAATGCTAGTTGGAATTTCAACAAAATTGACAAAATTCCGGGATGAATGTCAAAGTTCGTGTCTTATCTTAATTTAGTCGGAATATCGGAATTTCGAGCTGAAATTCAGAACTTTGGGTAGAATTTACTGAGTACTGAAATTTTTTAATGAATTTCGACATTCCGAGTTATGAGAGTAAGAATTCTGAGTCTTCAGAAATTATTTTCTCACACGGATACATTGTATCTTAAACAGCATTTAGCTAACCAAGTTGGCATCATTAGGAGATGAATCATATACTGATGATGGTAACTTGAATAATTTAACTTCAGGGGTTCGAATTCTACCTATTAACTTGAAAATATGAATACATCACGGATTCATAAATTAAAAGTAAATTCTAGACAAACGATGGAAAGTACAAAATTATTCCTAGTTTAAAAGTATATTTTGAAACAAGAGTCTGACTCCATGAAACATGGAGACCAAAAAGAGGGTTTCACTCACAGAAGATATGGTAGTTCTGAAGTTTTTGTTATGTTGTTTAGAATAGTTGGTAAATATTTGAAATTCGAAAAACAAATCCCCTATCTCGCGCCTGCCGTCATTTCGAAAAAAAAGGAAATAATTGGTCTTTTTTTCCACATTTTTCTTTTTGCTGTAGTTCTACTGAATGACAATTCATGCTCCCATACTTTTTTTTAGTACTGATATTTTCGGAGTTGCGCGCTTAGTAAAAAAATCAAAAATGTAATGCTAAGCTTCAGTTACAGCGTATTTCAGTAAAAACAAGTATCAGAATGGAATAAGAAATGCAATTATCTCTAAAAGTTCGGGAACCCTGCCGCCATTTTCACTTCCCGAGAACACACCACCATGTCATGGAATGAATGGCAATTGTCAATGTGGGGTTACAATAGCACAAACGCATTATTCCATTTTTACTCCCCCTCCTTCCCTAACGCAGGGTTGGTTTAAAATTATATGCACTCTGTAGATAACTGAATTCCTCACAAGTATTATCCTAATACTTGTTTACCTAAATAAAAGGATATGACTGAAACAGTCCCAAAAACAAAGTTTAAGACAGTATCAAAAAGTAAAATTCACAAAAAAGCACGTAAGTAAAAATTGCTATGATTTTTTCGTTCTTCTCGGTATGGCGGAAGACGCGGAGTGGAGGGAATTGTTTATTTGAAACACTCACAACTGATGAAAACATATAAAAAATTCAGAAATACCGCATAATTTGTAAGTAAACGACCCCTCTATTTTTTGGACCTAGTTTGAGGGGTCAAATTTCAGTTTCAAGCCGGAATTTCGAATTTAAAATAAAAATTTCGATTTTTGAAAATCTTTCAGCCAACTTCACACATCCATACTTCACACTGAAAGTATGTGCTTCAAACTAATAGAATTTATAAAAAAAAGACTTACGTGTAGCTTCCATGTGTGTTATGACATTTGCCTCGATGACATGGATCCTGTTTGCATTCATCTTTGTCTTCTCTGCACGAAGCTCCTGTGAAACCGGGACCGCATGTGCATTTGTAGGAATCCCCTACAGACGTACACTCGGCCCCGTTCCGGCAAGGTTGCGACGCGCAGTGGTCCTGTTTCTCGCAACGAATCCCTGAAAATTAATGCATGTCAAATTGTAAGCACACAAGTTCAAAAAATAAACAAAAAAATAGATGAACGAAAACAAATCAATATTTCAGAATTGGGGCGTCTTTGCTTTCTTTTTAAGTAATTTTATTAGTTGATTTTTACTTTATCAAAAGCACAAGAAAAACACCGATGTGAAGCTTTTCGTATCCACACACACATACACGACGAAAAAAATTGTGACACCCTAGTTTTCGCTGTTTCAACATATTATTGTGGAAATATCAACGGTGTGTTATTAAACTCTATGAAAAAGTGAAACTGAGGAACCTGATATCAAGTTAGGGTTATGAACTATATTCTGATTTACAAATATCTTTTGTTAGTGGAAAAAAACTTTTATGACACATTCTCCACAGCAGACCTTTCAAACTATGGGGAATGTGTCATCAGGATTTTTTTCCACTATTAGAATATATCTCAAAAATAGAAGGTCATACTATTTAAATATAGAGTTCACCAATTCTTTTCTATAAAAGAGTTGATTTCAGTTTTTTTCAACCCCTTGATATCAGAACCCTCGGCTTATTGCTAAGTTGCATCTTTTCATGGAATTGTATAACGTAGCGTAGATATTTCTATACAAACATAAATCTAACTTGTCATAATTTTTTTCGTCCTGTATATGTGTGGATGTGAAAAACTTTCGGTAAGAATAATTCATTTATCAAGAAGTATTCTCTATTTAAACTGTAACCTCAATTAAATAATCATGACAACGAAAGGTTTCACCTGTTGAAAACGTTTAGATTTGTTTGGCGGATAATTCCCAACAGAACCTGATACGTGACTCGTAATTTTTTTAATTTATTGCATAAACAAAATATTTGAAAAATAATTGGATTCCAAAACATCACACTGGATTTCATAATCGGCAAACAAGTCAAGATAATACTACTTCCTGATTCGTATTTACACTCAAAAGGTGTATAAGCTATTCAAACCTACCTTATGTACACAATTTTATCAGAAATAACGTTTGCGAATGAACTATTATTTCCTTTCATCCATGACTTGCTGAATCGTGAAATGAATTAAATTTTTCAGAATTTTTAGAAAAAACCTTTTACAGTTGAATATGTGATTTGTTAGTAATGAGGCTCTCAAATTGACTAGAAGGCGTAAAAATACTGAGAGAGTTACATATCAATTTTCGTTCATCGTATAAAACAAAAAATTAAGTTACCAACATAAAACGTGAAGACGGTTATGAAGGTCGAAATGAGCTAGTTCGAGAATTTGAGTGAAACAACATTGAATGGATTACTCGGTTGTTCAAATTTGAGATACCGTTATTCTTCATGCATCAAGATTCAACCCACTTTAACAAATTCAATTTTACGTGAATTAATTGAAACACGATTTTTATATCTGATTTTCACATTAGAAAGCACATCACAATCACACTGATATATCAGCAATAAGGGCACCGCAGGACCCCATACCTTATATTATGTAATCTACTCGATAATGTCCAAAGGATGCGATGTAAGTTGGTGATATTGATATATCTGAAAACAGGTAACTGTGCTATTGACCCCATTTTACACCCAGATAATTACCAAAGCCAATGGAATCATTGATAATCATGTCCAAATGAAAAACAAAATGTCTAGCCCCAAGCGATAGCTCGTAAAATTCGCAATTGCCAGATAAATATTCGATAACTGCCAAAATATTACGAAACACCTTCTTATTCTCATTCGGCCGAATTCAAATTGGATATTGTCGTGAACGCAAGAATTAAATTCGTCTATAATTTACCGGATAAGGATCTAGACGACAATAGAAATTTTGCTGCTTCACTTATAGATCGTTAATCTATCAATATGTACCGTATTAATGTGAATTACTGCTCAGCGAAATAGATTTAAAGTGGATAAGAGTGATATTTCATAGATCGAAGATCACCACGCCATTTTAGACATATTATTACAGTTGTTAGCCTTAAGGAGGCACGAATACATAATTATCGTATCGCAAGAGTTTAAATAAATCTATCAAGTCCGAGCTCGAGGAAAAACTCTCAGAGAGATGCAACAGGCTAGGTTCAATCAACCGCTGTGGAATTTCGAAATTTACATGTATCGAAAGTTGTTATAAAATCTTCAGCAAGAATTTAACGCGAATGTACGAACGATTAATTGGACCTATTTGAGTATGCTACGTTTATTTATCTCCGTTAATAGCCCGGCATTCATATTCAAATGGCCTTCTGCATTTTTATGGTAAACAAAATCAAAACATTATCTGGATCCCGACACGAGATACGAAATATTTACAGGGATATTCTTTTAATTAAATGCTGAAGGATTTAATGACCGATACGTGTTTTTGTGAAGAAGCTCACCGATCTTCTGTAGAAAACTAAATAATAGGACTACAGTGAGGCGGTACAAAATATCGGAAGGGCCAAGAAAAACATGTGGGTACATTATTTGTCGCGTATTTAAATGGTGTCTGATAGAGCTCCATTGTGTCGAAGCGGAAATATTAATAAAAATATAAAGACTGATGACAAATTTGACTAAACTATCAGGTATTCCAACAGGTATGTTGAAAAGTGGCCTTAGGTTCGAACTTTATTTTTGGTTACAAACAAAAAACGACCCTGTAAAAATCTTGAGTTTTCTACAGAAGTATACAGAAGTATAAGCATATAATGATAATACTTTCCTACGAAACTCGTCATTGAGTACGTACCCAAAGTAGAACCTGTGCGTCTAAGGTACGAGTATATCAATTAATGAAATCAATATAATAATACAAAAAAGGTAGTTGGTACTTTTGAAACACCAACAAATTTTTATTTAGTCAATGGAAATAATCTAGGAATGATTTACTTCCAATGACATCAGAAAACATGAGTTGAAACATTCGTTAAAATATTCGAAGTTGCCTTTATAGTTTATATACCTATGTCAAAAGTGTATTGTTTGAAGAACTCAAAGTGGTATTAGAGATTTTCAGGTAGGTAACTCCGAACCTTTGGTGTAGTAATGAATATTACTGCAGTTTTATCAGAACACCAAACCGTTATTTTTAACACCTCGACACGTGTTTTAATCACCAAGTGATCATCTTCAAGAGGAAGCTTAAAGATTAAACTTCCTCTTGAAGATGACCACTTATTAACCGAAACATGTCGAGGTGTTAAAAATAACGGTTTGGTGTTGGGATAAAACTCTAGTAACATTCATCAACTCCGAACTGTACATACATTAGTTATTATAAAATTATTGAAATAATAGGAGATTTTTCATATTCGAATAGATTTTCGTACAACTTTTACAGAAACCATTCCCAACTCCTCTGGCAAGTTCTGTTGGAGTATGTTGTATGACCTGCAGGGAGTATAAATACTTTCACGCATATAAATACCGCTTCGCATAGAAATTAATCTTTGAAAAGTAACTTTTTGTGTCTGACAATTGTTACTGTTTAAGTTTAATATAAGATTATATTTTCAATAACAGCATATTCAATTGCTTTATATTAGTTTCCCACTCCTATGTCCAATCCCTTTCTATTTTAGTTATTTTTCTATGTTCAGGTTTCAAAATGATTACTGTTTTGTGTCATGGGAGGTCTAATCTCTAGCATGCATCTTATCAGTTCAAGTCACTCGGAATTGTGATGCGAACATGGATGCGAATATTCTAACCCATAACCAATCTTAATTCAATTGTTGAATTTCATAAGGTGTCCGTCATATACTGTCCACAATTAATATCGAATGAAGTCAGGTTGGAACACGATGCCTTCGATCTGGAAAGATAACTCTATTAAGAGGATTTTCTACTAGCATTTAACGCTTGGGTAAGTAGGACATACTATAGCAAATAAAGGTTTGCAGTTCAAAAGAGTTATAATGCAAGTTAAAATTACTTCGGAAATACAGTTACCTATTTATAATTATTATATAATTTTACCTTATTCAAAATTGTCATATAATTGCTGTGTCATTTGGGCAGCACTATCAGTTGCCGTTCGTGTTGTTTGTGATAAGCTGCGTTGAGAAGCAAACGAACTACTTTCAAAAATCTATAGAAAAACTGGACGCGCTGGGAGCAAAAGTATATTTCAGTTTGGAGAATTGAGAATGAGACAAAAATTGAGAAGTGAAGACGCAAATAGCTACAGGAATATTCCACTAACGAAATTGAAATTTGAAGACTCATCAGATCATCACAAAAACTTTCTTGATAAACAGGCGCATACCTGAAAGATTGAAAATAACACTTTCTGACTTCAAGTGATGGTTGTTTTCAAGTATAGTCAAAGTAAAAGATATTGTGTACATTTAAAGGTGGCGGCACTCTCAAAGGCCAAAAAAACCAATATAGAAATGAACCGGCAGTGAACTAGTGGACTGTAGATTTGGTGGTTCGTATTGGATAATTTTTACTAACCGAGTTTCATGATTGGCTGAAGAGTCATAAAATTAAATTTGAAGTGATGTAGGTTGCACGTTTACTTGAACTATAACAGGTTTACAAAAGGAAAGTACCCGTTTGTGGAGCTCTCACGAAGTTTATACCAGCGACAGTAATTTCTATCGAAATAGATAGTACTGGTGCAATTAAAATTTGCATGAAAGTCCTTGGTTCACTCCTTTAAAGATTCACATTTTCAAGTGCGATGCAAATAAAACTTTCGCAAGCGATAAATGCTAGTGTAAAGCTCCCTTTAATACATATGGCAAGAGAAAAGCAAGTGCTAAGTTAAGAAATTTCTTGTCTTTCACGAGAATTCTCTAAAGTATGGCTGATATCAAATGAAGATTGATTTAATTGTAGAAGGTTAATTCTACATCAGAAAATTTGTGACCCTCAAGATGGTGTTTCCACATGTGAAGATGCAATGAAAATAATAACAAAATTTTCTCACCTGTATATCCTGGTGCACAAGAGCACTGGTAGGACTTGAGGGATCTGAGCGAGCAGGTTCCACCGTTCAGGCACGGTTTCTCATCACAGGAGTTCGCGATTCTTATTTCGCACAACGAGGCCATAAAACCGAGCGGACACGAACACGAAAAACTGGGGGCCTCCCCGGGCGAAACGCGTACTTGACACGAACCGCCGTTTTGGCATCGAGGTCCTCGTGAAGTGTGGCAAGGATTCGGGTATTGGCAGTATTCTCCTACGTATTTTGACGTACAACTGAAAAAGAAATACCATTATCAATTTCGGAATTATCTGTTTGCTATATTTCTTCGCAATTTCCAGAGAAGAGAAATGTGACTGACAACCACATATCAAATATATTTGATGTCTAAATATTGGCTTTCTAAATGAAGTTTATCAAGTAGATAGTGAGATCTTTGACTATTAAAGAGTAAGCAAAGAAACATAAATGAATATTAGAATTGAGCGAGGCGGTCGCGGTCATGATTCATGGTATCACGGTAGTTGTTTATACAATAAGATACTTAATATACCACATCAACCGATATCAATTATAAGCGGTAAGACTAGGATAAAAGAGCCGGTTAGTACTTGATTATTAAGAGTCAAAATGTCATATTCAAATCTGATCAATATCAAAAAAATCAAACAGTTATTCTGTGCTTGGAAGCACATAAACACTTCTACAAACAGTTTTGGTCAAGTTTGGAAAACCATTCACTACACCTCAATTCAATTCAAAAACGTTTATTCAAGTTTTAAATAATAATAACAATATATTTGTGTAGGTGTGTTTGTGTGGGGCCCTGCTATAGGCTTATGCCTCTTCAGGGTTTACTCCACCTCATTAAACATGGATTTTAATCAAGTGTCGGCTAATTGAAAAATATTTATTTCTATTCAAAGCTTTCTCAATATCTATAATAGAGATGAGAAAACAGAAACCATGCGTGAACTTCATAATAGAAGGAGAACTAGTTACTCAACGACCTACATGAAACAAGACTCAAAGAAGTCAAACATTAAAGAATTGATTGGCACGACCGATTTCTCCATTTAGTTATAATTAAATTTACAATATGTTGGTATCACAACTAATGAATTCTGCGATCTCCAGAGCAACTTCTTGTGGAGCTCACTTTTATTTTTATTGTAATTAACAAAGCTGACGATTCCATTTTCCCACACTCTTTCTTTATTGTAAAAGTCGTTTCAACTAGGAATGTGTATTCATCTCACACTTTTATTTATCGCAATACAACTTCTTGAAATGAAATTGAATTTAAGCCGTGTGTGAAAATTGTGCAATAAGCACAGCTCACACCCAAATAAGATTTCAAATTGTATGGTTCATATCAAACGAGTGTTGTCTCTTCATCTGTCTTTGAGCAACTGAATGAAGGTAGAGAACTGCCATCACCAAACGTTAGAAGAAAAAATTCGAAAGTCTCTCATCTTCTGCTTCACCACCGACCTTGGACAGAAATCACATTGTGGTCAATCATTCAGATCGCATACTAACTGAAGCTGAACACTTCTTTCTTGCCAAATAAGAAAATTACAATGTGGTTCCAGCCAAACTTCGTGCCGAAGACATAGTGGTCAACATCGAATCATCCATTAGGAGTTTGCCACAAGAGAGCGGAAATTTCATGAATATTTTAATTTTTGTTGAGATCAAATTCAACAAATTATACAAATTAGTAGAGATTTTGGTACATTCAATATGCAACAACTTTCTATTACTTTCCTCAAAACTCAAAAAACAAAGTTCATAAAGTTTTCCAACATTTTGTGGGCAAAAGTTAAATTTGCTTCAAGAGAATTCGGAGAAGGGACATTTTGAATATTTGAAAGGGGCTCTATGGAAATTGCTATTTGGGCATTGTGAACAATATGACTTTGACCAAACATCATGTTTGAATAATCTCCCATTTCATCTAGTTTCTTCAATGTTGATATCTTAAATATGGCAGAAGGTTTTTTATTTGAGAGAAATCCTAAGGGTTGCCAATTAGGAGGGGCATTAGAATCAGGCCAGCTGAAATACACTTGGCCATCCATTCCCTCCGGAAAAGGCACAACTCCTGTCAGAAACACTACTATATGATTTATGTTATCAGCATCATTAATAGTAGTTACCAACTGGGTTCCACTAATTTGCTAAAATTCTGTTTGAACCAATCGTCCAGAAACTATTATACCAAACATTGCAATTCTAGAAACTCAAGAGGATTGTTGTTAAAACCAAAGTTTCATTAATGAGTTTTCGTGTTTATCTTGTTCTGTAATGTTCTTCGATTCAACCTCAGGCGTTGTGTCCTTTGGAATAATAAAGAATACTTGGTTACAGGTAACTCAAATGTTTTCGATTGGTAGTTACAGTTCAGCCTTCATTGAGTAATAAAACAGAAGAAAACAAATTGGGATTATATTATTTATTACAGAATATAATGAATCCGGAAATAAATCATGTTCAATCATTAATAAAACTAGATGGAGTTTCGAGAAGATTGCAATTTCAGTAGCAAGTGAAGCCATTAAAATATCGATTTAAAAGCAGTTAAAATCTTTAGAGGTAGTATATCAACATTCCTCAATGTAATTATGCTGATACGTATATTATACCATTCGAAAATTGTATTGTATCTTGATTTGTCTGTGTTAATTTCGGTACCACTAGTCATTGATGGAAATAATAATGATTCAAAAGAAGAGTATATAGAAGTGAATAAGCTAGGTGGAATATACATTGTTTCGGATGAATTAATAAGATGTACTTGAAAAATATGCGTCTCTTTGTTTCTGGTAATTTTCTTTATATCAATGATTATGCAAAAACAAAGGATAAATGACACCTCAGACTCAAATTATCAGTAAGTTGGGGAATATCAAAACAAAAGAGTAAACAGAGTGTACACAAAGGGTTTCTTGATACCCAATCTCGGTGGGAAGAAATTTGGGATATCATCTTACTCTCTCTTCTGAATTGATTGTAATGTCACTATGAATACACCCCTATATGCCAAAAGTGTTGTTTTGGAAATTAAGATCCTTTTGTTTTCAGACCAGCTACCTTATATCTAGACACCAAAGAATAGCTGTTATTATTGTGGAATTATTTGACGTTCACAGATCATATCTATGAATATTTCTTTAAAATCATCTACCTGGATAATCTGAAATGCATCTGAATTTTCTGTACCTTCTACTGCCCTACCCACTTAGTAAATATTAACAAAGAATCGTAAGTAGAGGATTTTGGACAGGTAGACGTGTTTATATAAATACAATTCAAACTTTACGTCTTCTTGCTAAGAGACGGCGTACTTGGTATTACACGTTTTTTAGGGTTTGTCAACACACAACAGATACCGTGTTGTTGAAAACTTTTAATTTTAAGTAGTGTTTAAATAAAATTGTAAACAAAATATAATGATACGAATCAAGTAGTGAACAAATACAATGTAGGTGTGTTTGTTTACTGAGGAATAGGTTAGTCTTGCATATAGATGAAAAAATGTTAATCCTTTTCGTGGGTTATCATATTTTTAATTGTGATGCCCTAAATCGTATTTAGGGCATATATACACCGTTATTGAAACCATTTCTGTAATATTTCGATTAATGATACCCCAAATTATGATTAAATGTATATTATAACGACCCAATCTGACTTCGGAAGGGTAGAAAAACTATATATATGCCTACTTTTTGTCTCTCATAACATCATATCAGCTTGTTCATGAAAAAGATTTCCATTTTTATCTGAAGGACGTGCCTATTAAGATATAAGGATTAAAATTTTCGCCTTCCAGAAATTTCCAGAACAGTTCCGAACATTCGAGAACATATCGGAATGTGTTTATATTTTTTGTTACATTCACAAATTAGAAAAAACAGTTAATGAATGAATTGAAATCATGTTCGACGAATCCATCTCAAGACTAGATCAATTTGTTTTTCATTTGAATTTCCCACCATGGAAGTTGTACTCGATGGCAGTGAATACCAATCTGGAGTTCTTCCACTAGACCAATTAAAGGATCCGTGTGAATGATTTAACAGATACGGAAAAATGATAAATGAAAACTTATCTATATCTACCTTCTATTATTATGAAGGGAAACAGTTTCTTAACGAAAAATCTGAAAAAATGTATCGTCTACTTATCTTTATCGTTACCATGTTTTGCATAAGAGGAATATTGACCCAACTGATAACAAAATTGAACGAAAATCTGCAGGTCTTAACTTGTTCAAGTTTAAGAAAAAATGACACACCTGGTGAATTGAATAAATACGTGAATCAACTAAATTTATGAATGAAATGCATTCATTGATTCAAGGTGAATTCCTTGCCATCAACGGAAAATACATGAAAAGTAGTTCTGTGTCGTATGAGTACATTCGCTCAGACAAATCATAGTTGTATCAATTGGGTTTGAAAGCAATTATTCTCATTGATAAAACCTTTTACCAATGTATAATTTTTCAATTGGCAATTCAAAAATATACGCTTCAAACTCGTTTTGCGAGAAAACGGAATCGAGAATACTCGGTCACAATTACAGACACTAATAAAAGAATAGACATAGACTATATATATTTGATCTGGTCTACGGTAACAAGTTACGTTACCTCCTTGGAAGGTTATAGAGTTCAGCTTCATTCCTAAAGACGTTTTTATGTTAATGACAACTGAGAAAAGGTGTATTTTTAAAACAGACATTCATCACATACTTCAGTTTCGGAACATACTGAACGGAAAGTTATCGAAGAATAAATAACGTTAGAAAATCTAGAAAGTGTTTCTGATTTATTTGAAAATTGTTCGACATTATCTCTTTTAATGAATCACGTATGTTGATGTTATTTTTTCTAGATAAATTAATTAATTTACTGAACATAATGATGAGTTGAAAACTAATAGACTTTGAAAGTGAGAAAAAACAAGGTCAAGTGTTGAATTATTAATTAATATTAGAAAAGTGTTTTAGTGTTGTGCTGTATAGAATATTGAATATGGGGCATGAGAAAAAGAACTCAATATGAGAAAGACTTGTTTGGAAATAGCACGATGCGATATCAAAGTTATGAATACAGATACCACTTGTTTCATTTATAAAAATCAATAGCTACAAAGCTTATACGTTCATCAGATAACTTGAAAGTTCAGCAGTAACTTTCTGCTGTGAATACTCATCACTTTTTTGACCGTTTACCAAGAACCATTAACAATAACATTGAGACAGT